CCCGCCCCGCCCCGCCCCGCCCGGCGCGAGCTGATGCCTCCCCTGCTCCGGGATCCCGTTCACCGTTTCAGGAGGGGACTGGGGTTGTTTCAAAAACAGTATCAAAAAAACGAGCGCAGCGGCAGCGAGCTTCTTGAATATTGTGGGCCGGAGCTATGGTTCTGTTTCCGATGTACTGTAGCCCAAGCTTCGCAATATGGGTGTGGCGTGGCGTGGCGTGGCGTGGCGTGGCGTGGCGTGGCGTGGCGTGGCGTGGCGTGGCGTGGCGTGGCGTGGCGTGGCGTGGCGTGGTGAGGCGAGGCCGCGGGGGAGAATGGCCCGGAACGTCCCGGTAGGCAACTCGATACACCGGAACGAGAGGGAAAACAGGCCCCCCGGCAATGAACAGGGAATGTGCGGAGAGAGACGGAGAGCGGGGAGAAGAGCGTCTTTCATCTTTCTCGCACTTATTGAAAAACACTACATCGGCAGGCTGCCCCTCTTTCTTTACTCCCCGTTCGCCCCCTCTCTATGGGCGCTCTGCGCTCTGTTTCTCTCGCTTTCCCTGCCCGCGCCCTTGGCCCTGCGCCTCCTCCGGATGTCGCGTTCATCACAAAATGACGAACCGTTTTCTCGGCCCAAGAGAGAAGACACCCCTCCTCACCCCCAAACTACGATACTCCTGAAGCAAGCAATTAATTTTTGTGTATTGCTTACCCACACACACACACACACAAAACGCTAAGGTAAGAAGTAAGTGATGTGTTTTTTCCTCACTCTGCGAACATTGTAAAAACAAGACGGCTAACAAGAAAAAATCTTACTTTTTACACGTACAATATTACAAGGAACCGTAGTACAGTTTTTTTATTTGTTTTTTTGTTTGTTTTATCGTTGCACTTCCCCGTTTACGGTAGTATTTTAGTGCGAAAGAGTGCAGCGCCGCAGTGCGGGCCTGAAAGAAAGCGCACTCAAAAAAAACGTTAACGCTAACGCTAACGTGAAAGCAGATGACTCAAACGTATGGCGATTGGCGTCAAAGCTCACACTTTAAACTTAAACTTTAACCTCGCGGGGCGGCGAGGGGCGGGGCGGCGAGGCGTGGGGCGGTGAGGCGTTGGGCTGTGTGGCGCGGGGCTGCGAGGAGTGTGGCGGCGAGGCGCGGGGCGGCGAGGCGTGGGGCGGCGAGGCGCAGGGCGGCGAAGCGTGGGGCGGTGAGGCGTTGGGCGGTGTGGCGCGGGGCGGCAAGGAGTGGGGCGGCGAGGCGTGGGGCGGTGAGGCGTTGGGCGGCGAGGCGCGGGGCGGCGAGGCGTTGGGCGGTGTGGCGCGGGGCGGCGAGGAGTGGGGCGGCGAGGCGTGGGGCGGTGAGGCGTTGGGCGGTGTGGCGCGGGGCGGCGAGGAGTGGGGCGGCGAGGCGTGGGGCGGTGAGGCGTTGGGCGGTGTGGCGCGGGGCGGCGAGGCGCGGGGCGGC